CCTTGTACAGGCGCTCGCCTAGCATCCAAATTCGAGGTGAAACGAAGACTGTCAGACCGGAGTAAAGACCTCATCCAAAGTGACCTTAAAACCTGCTGCACGCATCCAGTCGGCTGCAGGCCCTAAGGCATCTTTCAATGCCAGTGCACTGTACAAAGCACGGACGGGTTTGGGAAGTCTCGACCAGTCTTGCAAGAGTCAAGCAGGCACTCTCAAGCCAAGTGGCTGTCGGGAGTCGGCTAGCAGATCCACATCCAGCAGCAGAAGGACGTTTCGACACACAGCATCCCGTGCCACTCCTGTACCGTGGCCCTGAGCACATCCAGTGGTCTACGTAGCTCGCAACGAGCTCCCAGACCAAGCTGTCATCTAGAGCCTTCAAGGAAGAAAGCTCCTCCATAGCCTCATAGAAACATCCGTTCTGATGCCCAGGCTGTTATCGGGTGCAGTGAGGCCCGGGGCGCACTCGGGTAAGGCCTGAACGTGGAGCGGAGTGGAACCCTCTTCTGCAGGCAAGAAGGAGCCCCATGCAGCAATACGAGCAGGGTGTGCCGTTAGATGACGCCGCAGGCGCCCAACAGAGGAGAAACGTTTGTCACAGGATTGGCAAAGTGTGTCAACTGCGCACAGATAAGCGTGACTGAGGTAACCATGTTTCCGAGCGCAGTATCCCGCCCAAGCTCGGCGATCGATAAAAGCCCGCCGACACGGAATGCATACCTCAGACCAAGCCGGGAGCTCACCCGAAGTGGGGCTAGTGGTGAGTTGCTGGCTTCCAAAGGTAGCAATCAAGGCCTTATGAAGGCATTGAAGGGCCGCGATACACTGGATCCGGCGCCGCTCGGGCACGCTTGACCAAGCCCTTGAATTTTTTGGGCGAGCCCTTAATGTAAGCCAACCATTCAGGCCAATGCTGCACAGGACAGGGGAGGGCAGGTCGTGTTCCAGGTCCATTGATGCAGCCTGCACAAGTCTTCTTGCAGAATCGTTGCGTGGGCGCGGTCCGCCCTCAGAACAGCCCAGACCGCGGGTGGAGCCGAAGACACCACTTGGTGCAGGACACTTACAAACTCTGCTTGAAAGTCCGGTGTCGTGTTCGAACTCCGGTGCTACAGGTGCTGCATCTCTGCTGCCCACACGCACGGTTCTACAAGGCGATGTCCTAAGTGTAGGTGTGCAACCTCTCCAAGTGTTTTTTGTTGGAGGTGGCAACCACTCTGTCAAAATCGAGGCAGTGCTGCTCCCATATGTCAAGTACTTAGCAGCTTGTAGGCCAATTGTCGACTCCAGACCGAAAAAACATTGCAGACATTGCAGACATTGCAGCCAGTACGTCTTGGATGCAGATCTTTCCTTGCGGAGTGGTGCGAGCTCGCCACCGAAACAGTCGGAACATGGAGAGCACACCCGTGTTTCGACACACGCCACGTACCTTCCAAAATCTGCACGAGAGTGGTCATTACAGCACCGAGAGTGATTGCTAAGACTTCATGAAGCTTCAAGAAAAAGCTCGCGCAATCAGTCGTCGAAAAGCAACGACAGTCCCCCGCACTTATGGTGCAAGTACATTCCAACCCAAGGCATTTTGAAAGTGTCGAACCAGTTTCTTCGAGCCTGCGCAACAGCATCGCTGTGTATTGCTGATAGAGCCAATGGAACCACGGGGATTTCACTCCAGAAGATCAGGAACCTGTTCTCAAGATGGGTTGACTTAAGAGGAAGTCCGAAAATCTCAGTTGTGTTTATGTCCATGCGACGTTTTATTAAGCGAGAATAGAAAGAGCTGGTGTAGTTTGAAGCAAGTCAAAACGTTTCAGCGGCCCTGCTGACTCGCGCGGAGTAGTGGGGCACGGAGTAGCTGAAACTGTAGCACATGCCACGAATTCGTTACTCCATGCAATGTTTTGGCAAATCAGATTAGAAGAGCTGGTATAGTTACGCCAGTGAAAACGTCTCAGCGGTTCTGCAGGAGAGTTTAGGATTTTCGCAACCCGCGTGCTTTTAGTCGAAAACCTCACGTTTGATGTTCCATGAATTTGCAACAGCTCAATAAGCTGTGCTGTTGGATGGAGTGGCTGCGTAAGCAAAAAGAGAAACGGTGATCACCTTTTTGGAGTTGAGAATTCAAACAAAGAGTGAGACGCGGGCTCAAAATTGGGCCGGACCCGTTTTTAGTGCCTCTGAGTATTGGCATATTTCCCGAGGGCTCAGAAAACGGTCGCATTTTGGCCTGCTTTTTGGTGCTGGCGAGCCACTTTCGAGCTCATTTTTGGAAAATCCGGAGAACTCCACAGTGCAGCCAGTTAATGCTCTTGAACATATTCGTTTCAAACAATCAAGTTGAAACTTGCTGCATTCTTACCAAGCGCAGCGCCAACACAAGAGTGCCACTGCACGCACGAAAGTTCAAGTAACGCAGAAATCTGCAACTGGCTGGAGAACGGCTGTCGGAGCTTTTCTTGGGCTCCACTCGTTGTCTTGGGCGGCTTGGAACGACGGTCCTCTGTCGCTTTAGCTTGAGGTCGCTGAGAGCGAGGCCCATTTTTTCTACGCTTGAACGGCCAATGCTGACCAAGTCCACACGCCGCAGCTAGTATGCAGTCTCCTCTATCATGTTTCACGGCTGTGTGCGGCAGCCATTGCCGGCGTGATGTGGTTGGACATGCGGCTGAGCTACATGTGTGTTGCACCTTGAGACAATACCGTGCCACGCGCGCGCGTGCACCTGCTTGAACCATGAGTTCGTGCGCTTGGGATTGCAGGAAGCCAAGGCCGTGATCGTTGCTTTGGAGGCAACAAAAGAACAAACTGAGGCGAGATGCATCTTGATGTAATGCTCACGATGCCTGTTCCATCAGTGAGCAGCTAGCCGCTACTCACTGGTCGTGCGGTTCTTGCATGGAGCTCATGTACATAGCTTGCGAGCTGGATGAATATGCGCACTTCGTGACTCCACTTGGATTCTTGAATACCGCTTTCTTCATCAGGTGGGTCAATACGCCGTTTTGGCATCAATACTTTATGACATACGCGACTCTATGATGATGGCTGTGGAGCAGCCTGGAACTTCTTGAAGGTGTTGGCCTTCTGATGGTAATGAGGCCATCACAATACCTGTGCGATGTGGAATCTCAAGGATAACCGACGACAAGTTGGTTCCACTGATGTCGCATGCAATCCGCTCGAATGCCTCCGCTGGGTGGGTCAAGCGACGTTTCATCATGGGCTGACCGAGCCTTTGATGGAATGAGCGTAGTGTACAGTCGACTGTGTCGTAGCTGCGCTGTAGTTCTTTGCAAACGTCAAAGCTTGGGCACTGTAGTTTGGAGTTTGGCAGTGTTCGCTACTGTTACGTATCATACGCTGTTGTTGATGCGGACATCGTTCAGTCTAAGTTGCTGCGGATGTCCGGGCGGGTGATCAACATCTTCCCCTATGCCTTGTACTTTTATTTTGCTAGAACCTTTTTGTAGCTTTTGGACCACTTGTGTAGTTTTTATTTGGAACATGCACAGCATGGTCGATTGTCGTAACACGTTCTCATCGCGCTTCCCGTGCATGGCTTCTGTGCTCGTTCCTCTTGCACAGCCAACACGGGGAATCATGTGCAGCACAGCAAACGGCGAGCCGTCGTTGACTTGTAAGGATTGCGGAGTGATTTCAAGCCTGCTGCTTGCTGAAGCTTTTCGCCCACCCACTGCCGCCAGAGCCCAATGGAACAGCGGCTGTTCGAAGCTTCAACGACCTTCTACGTAGCCTTAGTCACGCGTCAAGCTTTGCTTTCGGGACATGTCCCTTTGCTGTGCATAGCTTCTGTGCTTGTTCCTCTTGCACAGCCAACACAGCGAATCATGTGCAACAGAGAAAAAAAGCGAGCCATCTTTTCCTAAACACTCCCGTGATAGTCGGAGCTTCGCCCTTGCTCTTAGGCACCCTGTGGGGCACCCGTCGCAGTCTTGGGACCGGAACAGAGTATCAACTGTGGCCTGTTCTGCCGGCATTTCCATGACCTACCAGCCAGCTGTTGCCACAGTCTCCGCAGTCTATCAGAGTCTATCAATTGCCAAGCCTGCGAAGATCGAGAAAGTGCAATGCGATGCAGAGGTCGCAGGTAGCTGGTGGACGTGGTTAATGTTTCTTAAACCCTAAATCCCGTAAAGCCCTGAACCCTAAATCCTCGTATGTCCGGAGCCGCTGCATGCTTTCCATGGCTCGACTTATCGCTTTCGGACTGCCGCAGCATCAGCTCAAGCGGCGCAGCCTGCACAATGACAACCGGAAGCTGTAGTATTGCATGCTACTGCGAAAGGGTGCAATAACATGACCATAACATACGATATAATATTTATTGCAGCAATTTGCCATAAAGTACTTCAACATAAAAGCTTCGTTGGACATTAAACCCCAAACCCTGAGGCCTGACACACCATACTTGAAGCCTTCAGCCCAAAACCCTGCGGCCTTAGCGCTAAGCCCCAAACCGTAACACCCAAATAGCAGACTTCAGACCGTGGTATTACATGGGCCAAGCCAGGCTGCCTTGACTGCCTTGCAAGAGCCATGAAGCTCCGTATGTTTGTGTTTTCGCCGTCAACGTTGGGCGTTATCTGAAGTTTAGGGCGTGACGATGCATAGTTGCCAAGTCAACACCGTGTTGTTGAACGAGTCCTGAACTTTATAAACCGCAAACAAGGCCTTTTTCCTCCAATCCTGAAGTTCCGGGGTGTGCAGGGCTTAGCCTTTCAGAAGCCTCGAAACTGACTCACAGGGCCCTCCGCTTGGTTTGGTTTCAAACCTTAAACTCATCAAAACCCCAAGCCCTGAACCTTTGAAGCAACTTGCAGGATGGGGTGTAGGGTTGGGTGGAAGTGGGTTGCAGAGCTTGAGTGATGTTACAGATCCAGCAACGAGAAATCTGAGTTAGTGGAGGCAGTGATGCATGTTGGAGTCCAGTGTTCGCAGGCCGTTGAATTAGACGCCTTGCAGCGAGTAGCACGGCTATGGCCGAGGACAGAGGGTTCAATGGAGGCGTTGTATAGTTTGCTCATCATTTCCATGTGCAGGTGAGGAGGCGGTGAGGCTTCTCAGGCGGATTGAGAGAGAAACCAGGCCCCCTCACCAAGTTTTGGGGTTTAACCTTTCGGAGCTTTCGGGCAGTTTGCTTTTCAGAGAAGTGAAGATGGTGCTCGCGGCTGCTAGGAGCCGAAGAACCTGAGGGCCGAGGAGGCCTTTGATGTTGGCAGCCGCCAGTATTTCGTCCAGAACTACGCCGCCGCCGAGGCCTCGTTTGCTCTTGCTGCGCGCCTGCAGCCGAATGACGTGAAGTACCATTACTGCCTGGGGGATGCCCGCATGATGCAGAAGAAGCTGGAGACAGCTGAGCTGGCCTTCGCCGTGGCCGCGAAGCTCGGACACCCTGATGCCGGCATTCATCTGAAGGTTGTCTGCAAGGAGATGGACAGAAAAAGACAGCTCCCACAAAAGGGGTGTGGGGCTGGTTCGCTTCAGGTTCTTGTCCAATTGCTTTTGTCAAATCTTCTGTTCCTTTTAACACGTTCGAGGCGTGGACATCCTCCCTCGCAAACAAGCACCCGAATTTTTCGGTCCTTAGTGCCCTGTCAGCGGAACCTGAACGTGAAAACCGTTTTGCGCTTGCTGTTACCCGGCATTACCGTGTAGGTTCCAGGGTCGGAAGGGTGCAGGTCATTTGGATTGGACATCCTTTGAGGCAACATTTTATTAGAGCTTTGTTGTGTCAGAAAGATTGGCAGACTATGACTTCTTCGCACCCCGGGGACCTCGCTTTTGCTTGCCAGGATCGGGAAAGAAGGAGGGCCGAGGAGGCCTACCAAGCTGGCCGGACGCAGTACTGCTCCAAGAGCTATGTCCTGGCGGAGGCTTCCCCTAAACCCGAGAAGCCCCATAAACCCTGAACCCCAAACCCCTGAACCGCAAAACCCAAAACCCCCCGAACCCCAAACCCTGGAACCCCAATACCCCAAAACCCCAAACCCCGGAACCCTGAACCCAAAACCCAAAACACCAAACCCCTGAACCCTTGAACCCCTGAACCCCACGCCCAAAATCCCAACAACCCCAAAACCCCAAACCCCTGAACCCTTGCACCCCTGAACACCAAACCCTAAACCCCTGCGGAGGCCTCCTTCGCCGAGGCGGCGCGGCTTCAGCCGACGGACCTCTGGTACCACTATGCCCTGGGCAGGTAGCGTTTGGCTTTGGGTTTAGGGCCGTTTAGGGTTCTAGAGTATAGGGTTTAGAGATGTTTCCGAGTTTAGGGTATAGGGTTGAGAGATGTTTAAAGTTTAGGGTTCAGGGTTTAGGGTTGAGAGATGTTTAGAGTTGAGAGTTGTTTAGAGTTTAGGTTTCAGGGGTTAGGGGTTATAAGGTGTTCTTATTATCTGTTTCACGCATATTCTCTGGATGGTTATTGTTTTCAAGGGCGCGCTACGAGCAGAAGAAGTGGGCGGCCGCCGAGGCTTCTTTCGATCCGAAGATGCTGCAGAAGCTGGGCTCGTGCTCAGGAAACTTTAATCAGCATAGGGTACAGGGTTTAGGGCTGTTGTTCCCAGACTCCCGGGAGAATCCAAAAAGTAGATCCTTCAATGGGGGTGCCTATAAAGTACCCTTAGTAGTATAGGGCCCCACATTAGGGGATCTACTTTCTAGATCCTCCCGGGGGTTTGGGTTCAGGAAACTTTAATCTATGGCACTGGTAGTATACGATGCTCTCTATAAGTATCTGACTTACTTATCCTAACTAGAAGTTCCCCAAAGCTCTATGAAGCCTGCATTAGACTACCCTATCAAGCCCTTCTTGTTTTTTTGCTAAGTCAGGGTATAAGTACCTGAATTGGGGTTATAAGTAGTCATAAGCATAGTTACCCTAATTGTAACCCTAGTTACTACATCCTATGATCCTTTAAGTACTATCCGATAACCGAAGTACTTAACTATTGGACTATTGGATCCTTATAACTCCAATCAACGTACTTATAACCCTACTTACTACGTCCCATGATCCTTTAAGTAATGTTAAGCTGTGTAAGTTGCTTGAGGAAGAAGTTGGAGGCGGCGCTGTCGGCGTTCACCGAGGCAGAGCGACTCGGCCACCCACACGCCGGCGTTTTTCTGAAGGAAATTCAGGAGGAGAGCCGGTAATTAAAGGGGATCATCAAGAGGGTTGCGGAAGGATTTTATAGAACTGTATTTTGAAAGGACGTCCTTAGAGGGTTCTGCAAAGGTGTTCTGGGTTTTTGTCGGATAGGACCCACTAGGGTTGAATGAGTCTTTTGTTTTTCTGGCTTTAGGGCTTTGGGTGTTGGGGCTTTTCGCCCGCAGGGTTTAGGGTTTCATGTCTTGGCCGTCGTGATAAGTGGGAATTATTGCGGTTCGCCTCCTTGCGTGGGGGTTTTGTTCAAACACGGCCGTTTGAACAGTTTGGCGCCTATGTAGCGGTTCATATCCAGGTTAAGCGTGTTTGGGGGTATTTCCGCAGCATCGTGATCATTCTTTCGAGACTGTCGCCGCTGATGATATTGGGTTGCCACCGCCCGCCTTCCCCTCCCCCAAAGCCTAAACCCCAACCCACCCGAAGACACAATACATCATCAAACAAGGAAGGCAGGCTCAGAAATGAGGAAGCCATGCCCTGGCTAGCGTCTCATTGTCAGGTTTCTGCTTCATCCGGCTTCTTGTTTTCACAACTTGGCAATTTCATGCACCGACTGCAGCAACGCAAACGCACGGAAGGCACCGCAGATGCCTGTGAGTTTGCTTGGTCTCTTTCTGACCACCCCACCACCCCAAGGCAGAACGTGGCATGTTTCCTACGGCAGCAAAAGCTACGGCTGCAAGAAACGACTCTTGCCAGACATGTAGTGAGCAGAGAGGCAGTCCCATAACCTTGAACCCAAATCCTAAACCCTGTAAACCCCGTAAACCCTAAACCCTAAACCCTAAATCCCAAACCCAGTAAGCCCTAAACCCTAAACCCTAAATCCTAAACCCTGTAAACCCTAAACCCTAAACCCTAAATCCTAAGCCCTGTAAACCCTAAACCCGTAACCTCGAGAAGCCGCCAGATTTTGGTCCTTGCTCTGGGCAGGAGCTGCAGCGGAAGAAGGCCACAGAGGTGCCATGAACCCCAATGGGGACCCCTGGGTCCCTATAATGGGCTATATAGTGGGTATATAATGGCTATATTAAGGGTATATACCTAGGGGTCCTTATTAAGGGTCCCTTCCTTTTCCGCCCAAAACCCAGCTGTATTCCTTCAGATCCCTTCTGTACCCCTTGTATTGTTGTTCAATGGGATTCGGGTTGTCCTCATAGTTGGCTTGCGGAGCAGTCTACACCGCAGAGCGGGCGTCGACGATATCGGGAATTTCTATGAAGCTTCTTCCCCAACCTGATACAAGGACAAAACCTTGTTGGTAACTATCGTCATTCTCTTCCTGAAACTGTGTCCACGACTTGCAGCCTTGCTGTCGGATCTTTGTTGTTGTCGTTATCCTAATATCGAATGTCAATACGTCTCGCTACGCGAAGTAGCCGTTCGTGGGTGTGCACCATCCCGTTTGTCTTCAATGATGTCTGCACTACTCGTTGTTGTACGATACTTCAAAACAAGGAATCAACCATCCGACTGCTCCACCAACGCAAGGTCTACCTACTGTCGTCTTGCACTGCTGCTAACCCCACCAATTTACATTTTCAACCGTGAAAGCTTAAGACCTTGAGCCCCAACCCTAAACTCTAAATCCTAAACCCTCCACCCCAAACCATAAACCCTAAGCTAAACCCTAAACCCGATCTCGAAACCCTAAACTTTGAACCCTGCAGAAAAGTAGATAACCTACTAATCCCTAGTTCTCCCTAAGGTTCCCTTAAGGTTCCCTTGAGGTTCCCTATAGGATCCTGGTTCAACGAAGGCTCCTGTAGCCGTGCCCGGCAAGCTTGCGAACGAGATGAGCGAGGCCGATTGAGTCGAAAGAGGCCTTGAGTGGTTGAGGCTTTAGGGTTTAGGGTTGAGGGTTTGTGTTTGGGGTTTAGGGGTGTAGGGTTTAGGGTTGAGGGTTTAGGGTTTGGGGTTGAGGGTTTAGGGTTTAGGGTTGAGGGTTTAGGGTTTGGGGTTGAGGGTTTAGGCTTTAGGGTTTTTTTAGACCCTTATACAGTAACACCCTTAAAGGAGCCTATTCTACACATTAAGACTCTTATGGTAACCACCAGAAGGAAACCTATTGGTTTTGTTGTTGCACCCTTGCTTCGGCTCAGCGCGCTTCGTGTTAGAATTGAGATTCAGGTCTTCATCGCATGACGAAGCGCCGCCCTTACCTGGCAAGATAACATCCAGCTGCATCTTAGTGTTAGCTACTGCTGTACGTGTGCTTTTGAGCAGTTTTCTTCTGGAGACAACTGGTAGCCCCATGACTCAGTTTCAACTGCAACTCCTTGTGCTTTCGACCTGCAGATTCTGCCATGTGTCGTCGGTTGGGCAGCTCATTTAGCAGCCGACAAAACCACACAGGGACCACGCACAGTAGAGATGCCGAAAACAGAAACAGAAAGAGAGCAACACAGCAGCATCTGCTACAAACTGTTAGTGTTAATTGTTGCCGGCTTCGTTGCTTTGTGAGCTTCTTTGGGTGTTCCCTCTGTGAAGATTCATATTACCCGGACAGGACGGTAGCAGTTCTAGTTGTACTTTGGGTCCCGGGCCTCATGTTCTGCAAGATCCGGGTTTATGCGGTTTGTGGTTTTGAAAGCGGGTTTTGGGTTCGGGCTCAGGGCTTTTGATTTGATTCCACTTTCTGGGCCGAATCGGCGACAGTATTACACAAGCCGCAAGCACGGCACCGTCTTTCAAGCGACGCCTTCAAAGCTGGATGGCGTTGAACCGACCTTATCCATGTCATTTTGTCCTATCCCGTAAATCTCTAGAAAAGGAGCATCTTTCGGTACCATTCCCGAATTCTCAAATCATGGCAATTTGAAAAAAACGACGTTTTGCGTCGTGTTCTCGATCGGCCTGTCGTCCCTTGCATTTGTTGGCCTCGAAACTCGAAGGCCTCAAACACCAAATTGGCCGCGCCGGTTGCACAGTTTTGCAAGTAAGGGAGCACTGCGGCGCTGCATCTTTCGATTTTCAACCTGCAAACAGTTCCGAGCTCGTTACCAAAAGAGAGGAACTCGGAGATTTCAATACGTCTGAGTTAGGGAATAAAGGTTGACATGTATGGGATTATGCGATATTATTCACAGCGGGACGTTGGCTGCATATGGCTTCTGGTTCTTTGGGAGCTAGGTTTCGAACAGGATGCAGGAAATTCATTCATTAAGGCATATTTGCCCCCCTGCACCCCAACCCTAATCCTACATGCCTAAATCCTGAACCCAATCCTAAACCTTTTTTCCTATTAAATCCTAAACCCTAAACTCCCTTACTGGTAGCCAACAAACAATGCTGCGGAGAAAGAGGTCATTGCAGATAAAAAAGCCCTAAACCCGGAACCCTAAATCCTAAGCCTTGAACCTTCAATCCTAATAAACCTTAAACCCTAAATCCCAAGAAGCCCTAAACTTTAAACCTAAATCCTAATGAACCCCTATAGACCCTAAACCGTAAACTCTGAACAGGACGCTCCGCAGTCCTTCATCGCCCAGCTACAGGGCCCGGCCGCCCGGGCGCTGCTCCGGGAGAAGATCTAGCAGGCAGGCTTGAGGGTTTAGGGTTTAGGGGTTGTAAGCTTTAAGGGTTTAAGGTTTTGAGGGTTTAGGGGGTTTTAAGCTTTAAGGGGTTTAAGGTTTTGAGAGTTTAGGGTTTTTAAGCTTTAAGGGCTTTAAGGTTTTGAGGGTTTAGGGTTTTTAGGCTTTAAGGGGTTTAAGGTTTTGTGGGTTTCGGGTTGACCAGGACCCCTGACCCCCCACGTACGCTTTCAAGGGCTCTGATATTTCTATTTCAGAGTTTTTTAGGGCTGCAATAAAGGGTAGTTCGGGGGTCTAGGGAGGGTTTAGCGTTTAAGGGTTTCAGGGTTTAGGGGCTTGGACTTTGGGGTAAGTAGCGGTTAAGGAGTGTACGGGGTTTAAAAGCTAAGTGTCGATGTTGCGTCGTAGTGAAATCTCACGGAATATCATTCCTCTTCACCGAAAAGAGTCGGAGCTCGTCTTGCACGAGAGAGACAGAGAGAGAGAGAGAGAGAGACGGAGACAGAGACAGAGACAGAGACAGAGAAAGAGAGAGACAGAGAGAGAGGGGGAGACAGCCTAAACCCTAAACAGGTTTTGCAGGAAGGAAACCTTCGTATGTCTCCCCTGAGTTTTATGCCAGCATTGAACAAGATCACATAAGTTGAAACAATACGCAGCAGCGTATGTGTATGCGAGTTTACCCGCCAGTAGGTGAGCTACAGTACGAAGTTGCACCTCTCGCGGTCGTCGTGCCCTGCAGTCTGCAAGCACAGGCAATGCCACTTCTGTCCATAACTGAGAAACAAATTGACGGGCAGGGCGCTTGAACCCTACATCCCGAAACCCCTAACTAAACCCCTTTGCCCTTGAAAGTTTAATTCCCGAAACCCCAAAGCCCTTGAACCCAACGTCCCGAAACCCCTGAACCCCTAAACCCCTCAACCCTGGAACCCTTGGAACCCGAAACCCTGGAACCTTAAATCCCGAAACTGACCCTAAACCCTAAACCCTAAATCCCGAAACCCGGAAAACTCTTAAACCCCACCCTCAGGCCTTCCCAAAACAGCGGGCCAGTGGCAATGAAGTTCGGATTTTTTTTTGTTAATAGGGCTTTGGGTACAGGGTCTATGATTTTTAGGGTTTAGGGCTTAGGAACACTTGTTTAGGGTATAGGGTGAAGCCTCAGGCGAAAGTTTAGCAAGACATGCTGTCGACGTAGCTGAAGAGCAATGCGGAAGGAGGGCCAGTACTACGTCCTGATGGTCGCGGCTGCAGGGGTGGCTCTGGGTACGCGTAGCTTGTTTTTGACTTGTGTTGGCGAGAGTCTTTTTACTGAGACTGAGAGGACCGCCGCGCACATTTTTGGCTGATTTAGTTTAGTTCTGGCCTGCCCCTGGAAGGGGGTAACCGCGTAGCCGTTTGGACCGCCAAGCAGTTCAAAGTATCCCAATAACACCATACAAATGCAAGGGTGAAGGCTCTGATGCTCTACATCATAAACCTTAAACAAAACAATTCTAACACAGCTGATACGAAGCCCCGCATGAAGCCCTGTTGTGTGGTGTGTTGGGTCTCAGCCTTTCCCGAGATGCAATGGGCGATTTTCCTCCGTGGGCCCCTGGAACCCAGGGATCTAGTCAGGTGGTTCTGTTGAGCCTTGGGGTTCAGGGTTTAGTTTTTTTTTTTTTTTTTGTTTTAGGGTTTTGGGGGGTTTGGGGTTCAGGCTTTTTGCGGATTCCATGCCCTTGAAAAAAGTCTTCTTGCTAGCTTGCCGAACTGCACTGACTCCTTTCGAAGTTTTTTCGGGGGCCTTGCGGAGACCTTCACTTTCGACGGGGAGGTGTCGAGTTTATGCCATTTTCCGACCCCACCCGCGTGGCAAAGCCAAATGCCGGGGCAGACAGGTCTGAAATGCATGAGTTGGGGGCAGCTGAGGGCAGAGTCGCTGGCACCGGCGAAATCCCACAGATCCTATGCCTTGAACCCAAAACTGGGCCTTCAGCCCTAAACCGTTGAGAAATTTAGGATTTAGGGTTTGGGGCTTTCAAGGAGGTCTCAGACTTTACTGTTTAGGGTTTTGGGGTTTTAGACGTTGCGGTTTAGTTCAGGGTATATCTTTCTATAGTGGTGCTTGATACATTTACAGCCCGAAGCCCTAAACCCTACTTAAAGGATCATGGGGCTTAGTAGCTAGGGCTATAATTAGGGTACCTATGCTTATAACCCCAGTTACGGTACTTATAACCTTACCTACTGAGTCCCCATGATCCTCCCAAATAATGAGACCCTAATCCCTGAACCCTATAGATGCCTTTAAGGAGCCCTTAAAGGAACCTAACTTACTAAGTCCCATGATCCTCCAAGTAGGATCTGCAGGCCCCTGCCCCCGACGCAGCTCAGGCCATCTTGTCGCGTCGTTTCGGAGAGAACGGCAAAGCCGTGGAAGTGTCAGGGCCCTCCATGGCTGGAATAGGGGTTTTGGGTTCGGTTAGAGTATAGCTATCAAGGGGTCATGAGGGGATAATATGACTCGCTATTCAGGCCCCTGTCTTGCCCAGAGTGATCCTGGGTTTTCGTGTCTCTGGTAAGTCGGGCCCGTGGAGTGCAACTGGCCTTGAGTTAAAAAGGGACGTGCGACCGGCTTGGGCAGGAGGCTTTTGTCATGCCTTCAGCGGAGGCGTTGGGAAGTGTGTCTCCTCTCTCCCGTTCACCTCGGATTCCGCGCGAAGGCTCCGCCGCCGAAAGTTTAGAAGCATCAGGATGCACAGCTGTTCTCCATCTCCACATGGCAAACATGCATGCTTTGCTGTGGTATGAGCTTTTGTTTTCTGCAGCGTTTCCCAGCCCAGTGTTGCCCGGTTGGCTAGAGCTTTCACGTCCTACCGCAACGTCATGTGTGCCTCACGCTGGCATGATGAACAACGACACTGGTGAATATTTGTTGGGCAACCAGATGTTCGCTTTTCGTTTGTCGATCCCTTCGTGAAGTCTTCGGGGAGCGGATGATCAGACAGGGTTGATGCCCATAGCATGTCAGTTTATAGCACATCGGAGCCGAGCGAAGGAAATCACAACTTGCTGCTCGTTTGTCGCCCCAGCGTTGCTCGTCTTTGTTCTGCTGCACATTTCTAATTTAATAGTAATAATAATCATGAAAAGAATAATAGTAGTAATAGTAATAATAATGATAATGTTAATAGTAGTAATACAAATAATGGTATAATAGTAATATGAGGCTTCATGCAGCCCCGCACAGCCAGTTGATGCAGCGGGTTATCAGGGCAAGAAGGTGCAAATCGGCCCAGGAACCACCAGTGAGCCATGCGCCGCCTGGCCTCTGCAACATCGTCCGTAGTCCAGCCAGGTGTGATAGGGGTCTAGAAGGTTCTTGTTTATCAGGTATCTCTGTGTCCTCGAAGGAAATCACAGTACTTCGAGGCATTACCAAAGCTTCTCTCGCAGTTAGCCCGCATCGTGCCACGTTTACGGCGCCATAAAGTCCACAATCTCCAAACGATGCTTCAGCAAAATTGCACCGACTGGGCGTTGTCTGTTCCATGCGCCGCGGCTTCCCGCCAACATTTTTCAGCCTATTGTGCACTGAGATGTGCGGGACTGGAGCGATCTTCAATATTGGTCTGCGAGGCCCTACGGAAAGCTGCTTTCCAAGTGGTAGCAGGCTGCAGTAGCCACATACAGAACTCACGCCACTCATGCTGACGATGTACGTCTCTCGCGGCCCACTCCCAAAGCTACAGGCAAGCTTGGTAAAGCACCTTGTCAGGACCGTGCCGCAGTACGCGCCTCAGTTGGCGGAGTCTTGCGGACGCAACACGGAGTCAGAGCACTGCGACGACACTGCGTTGGAACATGCGTGGCGCGTGTGTCGGGCGAGGAGCCGGGCGCCGGCAACCGGGCGACCTGGGCAAAGAGTGAAAGGGCGGAAGATAACACCGCGAAGTCGCTAAGAGTCAGCAAAGGCCACGCTCCAGAGCGGAAGGTCAGTATGCTTTGGAATCGCTGGTGGTCTGTTTAATGGAGGGGTGTCTGTCCTTGCGTTTTCTGGCCTCAAGAATCGTGACATTAACGTCGAGACCTATTCGGTCCTTCGAACTTTGAAGCCCAGATCGGCAATTTACTGTCGTTCCCTGTTGGCGCTCACACACGAGCAACCTTGCAGGCATTTCAAAGTATGCTGATGAAGGCTTGCTCAAGGGCAAAGACAGGTTGTCGATGCCACCCAGAAGTTGGAAACCCGGCAGTCTCAATCATTAAGAGTAATGTAGAAGGAACTTTTCGGGGTTTACTATAAGCGGTGCTTCGATATAGGGCATCCTTAGAATATGCTTTCAGGAGGGGTAAGGCGGACGTGGCCTTGGCCTCAAGCATTCAAAGCTTGTGGCAAGTTGGGAGCGGGAGGGCTTGGAAATAGAGATCCATCCCTTAGAGTTTAGGGTTTAGGATTCCGGGATCCGGGATCTTCTTCTTAAGGCCCTGAAAGGATTGGGGTGACACCTCCGGGAAACGGGTGTTGCCATGATTTTTGTGGTGCGAAGTTGGACCGGCCGTGCACATACATATGTCCTCGACAGCTGTGGGACATCCGCTTCTGCTTGTGTTTGGCATCTCGCAGGCGATGGCAGTCGAGGCAGCGGGGGAGCAAGAGGAAACTCAGGCGCTTCTTCTCCCAGGTTACGCCAGTTGTGAGTGCCAGTCTTGAAGCCCCGATCGAGTACTTCATTTGCAACGTGAGGAAGTGTCTTCTCCACTAACCTCCCGACCTCAGCGTCTTTCTCAGGGAGCATCGCTGCTAAACTCAGCACTTCCAAGTCGAGATGCCCCGTTAAATCCTAAACCCCAGGCCGGCCTTGACGTGAGGCTATTGAGCTCAAGGACGAGAGGATTCAAACACAAAACCAACAAAAAAACGCCTTGACGAAGTTCCTCTGGGGATCTTGGAGATGCCAAGGAAGGACCTTTCTTTGGGCGGGCTAGCAAGCTCTCAAGCACCGTGGAACCCA